TAATCAAACCATCAGTTTATTCTTGGGGACCTTTTGTAGGGGGGGAAAGCAAATAAGGTAAGGAATGTGGGAGTTTTTTATTTTTTCCTCTCGAGGGTCCCGCAGCTTTCCGTTATGAACCAGAGGAAAACAAAAATGTTTTCATGACTGAGTCAGTTGAGAAACTTGAGCCTGTGCTGCTGGCACCAGGGTGTTTCTCATTAATCTTGCACATTAATTTTTAGTTATTTCTCCTTCAGTTTGTTTCTAAGGCCGGTCGGGCTTCCTTCTTTATCTTGTTTGTCTCTCCTGGTAGTTTCTTCAGCGTCATGTCTCATATTGGAGCGGGTATACATTAAAAAAACAGGGCGGTGGAGGGAGAAACCATTCCAACCCGCTGCCTGCCCTTTTCTCTAAGACGAGATCTGTTTTTGGCACACCTAGAACATGATTCAAATTCATGGAACTGTTATGATTTTGTTCTGGTCAAAATGGGAGAAGTTCAATTTGCGTTCACTTTGAACCACAAAGCCTAGAAGAGCAGAGTGGTTTGGATTCATAGTGCACCACAGTGCAGAGAGCCAGAGAGTGAAAAGAACATGAGATCAAACTGAGAAAAACTTAGGAGTTTCCACTCTATCCATTAATAATGAATCCCCCCTTTTTTTCTTTTCTTTGTTGTTGTTGTGACAGTTGTGACAAGATTCCACCCGTTTTCCCCTCATGCTGCAGATAGCATGACCCGTGCCCAACTACTGTCACAACACCACTGATTGCTCTGTGACAGCGGTACTGCTCTGCCTCCACCTGCACAGCTCTTCAGTGATGTGCAGCTTCCCCTCACCCAGGTGTACTGACCTTGCTGCCGGTGTGTGATACGGAAGGCTGAGCCACCAGTCACACATACCAAATGTGTCCACGTCCTTCTCTGAAGCCTCTGTGGATGTCGCTGCCGTCAAAGCTGAATAGCAGAACGGGGGACAAGTTTATGTTAGAGGCCCATACGCATTGACGGACGTACTCAACAAGTTTTCTGGATGTTGGAACTGTTGGAAAGGAGCTGAGGGACGAAAGGGTTGTTGTGCTTTCCAGTAGTTTGAAACTGAAACGTGGTCTTGGGGTTGTGGTTACTCAGGAGGTCGAGCAGGTCATCACCGTCTCCTCCAGTGTGCATGCCAAATATTCCAAGATATTAACCCCAAGTTGCTCTCCAGTGCATCTTTCGGCATATGATTGTTAGATAGAAAGCACTCACGTGTTGCACAAATTTTAGCCATATATGATGTCTTTGTATATGGTGTTGTTTCTGCTGGGACAAACAATGTGGGAAGTTGTAGTTGTCAGAAGGGGAGCTACTGTAGCATGAACGCTGGCACGAAATCTGAGAAGACAGCAAGCCTAATTAGCATCGCCGTTCAGAACACCGCCCTGTAGCCTTCGCTTTGCTTGGATTGTATGCATGCGTGCATCTGCCGTTTTTGTAACAAGAAGAAGAGTGACGGTGGGAAAACAGCGAGCCAGTTTAACATCTCTTTGTAGGTAAATCCAGTTTTAATTAGAGTCTCACTTACCGCCGAGGACCTTCAGCTTACTGCACGAGACATCCTTCACATTCTTCCAGCAGGCACCGCGTCTTAATTTAAACGACCACAAGTGGAGCGAGCTCCCTCACAACAGTTTGAGGTGTCTCCGGCTCATTCAGCTCAAGCCAATTTACTTTGTCTCCCTCCCTCATGGTCTCAGTAATGCATTCCTTGTTCAGCGGAGCACTTTAGCCACTGCAGTTAGAGCCGAGATTGACTCGCTCTAAACGGAATGAGAAATTGCGCGGTGGTTTGACGTGTACTGTATGTTCCTCTTTCAACTACAAGAGGAAGCTTTCAATGCCTTTTGCGGAGCATGCGGCATTAAAGGCCAAGAGTCTGAAAAGCTGTCCTGGTGAGACTTAACTGCAGGAACGCTTGGTGCTACATGCGTCTTTCAGAGAAATTTTTTCATTCAGCGGGTTTTTGACATGCAGAGCCTCGGAGCACAACCAGTCACACTCGCCCTCACGCGCAGAGAGGTAATCAATGTACAGCAGGACGTTTGGCATTTTCTGTTTTCCTTACTGCAGTCTCGGGACTAAAAGGAGAGGCAGCCGCCTTCTTTGTGTTTCCCCCACTTTCCCACCTTGAACACTGAGGCCATCCTCTGTCAAGCCTTCTGCTGAGTGTACTATTTTTGCACCTGTTTCTGTTTTATACAATCTGGCCCCGTGTGTTGTTTGTTCTTCTCAGATTGCAGCACTCTTGAGTTTCAGTATGGCTCTTTTGACCTGAGTACATATACCTGCTCCTGGATTGGATTAAAGAGCAAGCCTTACACTGCTCACATATCTAATGAGAGGTTGGTTACAGGAACTGTTAATGTGATTCCTCTAGAATTTTTTCCTAGAATATGTCAGCTAGTGTTGCCAACTCTGTGATAGGATAGCTGTGTAGGAAACTATGGCTGATGAAACTGCTTAAAGTTAGCTCTTGACATAAACATGACATTTGACAACCTTCCCTGTACCCTTAATGATGACTTCTGACACCTCACGATATATCAATAAAGGTTGATGACCATTAGAATATGCTCTGGGTTTTGGCAAGAGTAACCTTATGCCCCTTTTCCATTAGTA